ACAAAAAAAAAACCCAGTGCACACAGGGGTTAAACTATTACACAGTGCAACACGTGAATTCCCACCGGGAATAACTTAGTGTAAATGTGACCAGTGTCCTAACCGACACTCGTGAAAACTCCTCATAAACACTAAAACATAGTACATACAAAATTCACCACGATGATGAATACAACAAAATAAATGTCCAATGAAAGTGCTCAAAATTAGATATTCATGCAGGTGCTGGTATGTGTTCACTCCGTGCAAATCCTTAGTGGCCCACCTATTAGGAAAAATGTGACATTTTTGGACCAAGTAGGCTTCTTCCCATGCAGAAATTGTTATGCGTGTAAGGAAACTAAGGGGATTAATAAGAAGGAAAAATCGTTTTAGTCCAACACTACAGGGAGGGAGTATAATATCCAAGACTTTATCTCATGCAGAACTAAAGGAGTGATATACTGCTTGGAATGCTCATGTGTGGTCTCCAGTATGTGGGGAGGGCGAAGAGACCATTATGGAAGCGAATACGTGAGCATGTACAAAAAATTAAAAAAGGATTTTCTAAGCATAGTGTGCCTAGACATTTTTTGGCCCACCATAATAAAGACCCCTTGACACTTAGGTTCTGGGGAAATGAAAAATATAAGGGTCACTGGAGAGGGAGTAACAAGGTTAGGTCTCTCAGCAAATCAGAGTCTAAGTGGATTTTTGACATGAAAACGCAGGTCCCTAGGGGCCTGAACGTAGACTTTGATTTGAATTGTTTTATCAGTAATATTTAAAGTTTATATACATTATTATCTGGCAAGACTATTTATTTATATAGTGATTTACAGTGGATTTTATCAGCCTGGTTTGTTATGCAGGATGTTAGCAATATCGGGCATATATTTAGTGATCTGTTTTGGGTTTTTATATATATCAATTTGTATTTATATGCATATTATTTATTTATTTGTTCAATATATTAATATTTTTAATGTTATTTATTTTTATGCTATTATGTTGTAAACTCATTCTAGAGGTGTCTATATGGGTATTTGTCCATATTAATTATAATTTTTTTCTCCATATATATATATATATATATATATATATATATATATATTATCATCAGTTTTTCGTCTTTTGCTAGTTCAGGCTGTAGATCGATTTTTTCGATGGATCGAATTTTAGATTTTTTGGTATTAAAGATTTTGATTGGTTTTATTTGATTGTTGATATTGGGGATTTAGGGAGGAGGTGTAGAGGTAAGGGGTGGGTGTATGGGTATATGATTTTTGTATGTTTATTTACATTTATTCATTATGGTATTGGTATATATCTGCCCCTATATATTATGTATTTAGTGCTCGTTTTAAGGAGTATGCATGTTATTACTGGTAATTATGTGGTATTGACGGAACCCTTGAGGGGTTCGTTCCGGTAGTGAGACCCATTTTTTTACCCGTTCGTGCCTATGTATATAAGTGTCACCGCGGTATGTAAGTGAAGGATCCGGGAATTGAGAGAGCGGACTTTGACAACATGGCTGCTGGGGTCCGCCTCTCATTGGTGATTGGCTGCCAGCAACCTATTTATGGAGTTTCTGCCTCCATGGGCGTTTACCCTGAGGAAGTCACGTGTCTAGCGTGACACAACGCGTCAGTACGCGAGGATGCATTTCCGGGTGTGCCGTGAAGTCACTTCCGGCGTGGGGGCCATATTTGAAAGTCATGTATTAAATACCCATGCAATACATTTGTAGCATGAGGTAGAAGAGCTTTGTGAAAGGAGAAAGGAGCATGTGAGTGGGCATTTCTCTTTACTGTATATACCCAAATAAAACAGTTTTACACTATGGAGGTTTCTTGTTTACCTATGGTCCGGAGGGGATACCGCTGACAGGGCTGTGTATGGAATTTGTTGTATTCATCATCGTGGTGATTTGTGTATGTACTATGTTTTAGTGTTTATGAGGAGAACCTCTGCTTAGTTTTACTGTAAACCTATCTGTTGCAGTTACAAGAAAGAAATGGGGAGGAAATGCCCTAGCAGCAATCGAATCAGCAATAAGGCTCCATGAACACTGGGTGTTTCAAAACTGTTAACTGTAAGTGTCCCTGTTAGGGAGACTTTCCCTCACTTTCTGCCTTGGGGACAATGGTCAGAGGGACAGGAAGTGAAGGGAAGTCTCTCGGGGGGGGGGGGGTAAAACACAAATTAAATCACTTTACTAGAATGGGAAAGGGTCAGAACCTCTGCTTAGTTTTACTGTAAACCTATCTGTTGCAGTTACAAGAAAGAAATGGGGAGGAAATGCCCCAGCAGCAATCGAATCAGCAATAAGGCTCCATGAACACTGGGCGTTTCAATAACGCTGGTAACATTAGCTGTGTAATATCGAATTTTTTAGCGTTTTTGTATTAGTGTTCAGCGACGTTTTGCCGCTTTTTTTAGAGTTTTTTTGGGGGTCAAAAAAAAATATGCAAAAACAGTGATTTACAGCAGCGATTTACCGTGTTTTACCATGTTTTAAATGCAAGAACTTCCTGCGCTAGGAATGGGGCCCTATTCACTAAGCTGCTGACACAAAACTCCTTACCAACCAAAGTAAATAAATATATATATATATAAAGTGCAGCGCTATCTCTAAATATACTATATACATATAAATATAAAGTGCAAAAACTGACTGTTAAAGTGCTCCAAAAATTACCACACGGTACTAAATAAATGTGCAAAATAGTGCATTTACAAAAATATTTTGTGCAACCCGTGTATTCCAAATCATACGGATAAAGTGCAATTAGTGACAACCATAATCACTCCAACCATCTGTAAGTATGATGGTATAATACAAGATCTACAGAAAATTTATTATAATGTACCATGTTTTGCCACGTTTTTCAGTGTTAGAGCATTTTTACAGCTAAAAAACTCCTCTACAAACCCACTAGTTCTGGGTTTTTTTCCAGCCAAAAAACGCCCCAGCCAAAAAATGTTGATTACAGTCTATGTGTGCATGGACACATAGGATAACATGCTGGAGAGTTTACTGGCTGTAGAAAAAAACATCATAAGCGAAAAACAGCAGCTGTAAAAATGTCCAGTGTGCATGAGGACTAAAGAACTGACAGGTATTTGCCATTTCCAACTCTATCCAAAAGTAAGCAACATATTTTGGGTAGTATTCTATATTAACTGGTTTACATAACAAGTGTGAGTGGAGTTTTATGGGTGTAGTGCTTTTTACAGGGTCAGTCCAACCTAGTGGTCATGAGCTTCTGAACCTCTCCTTTTCCTACTCCATTCCATTTCTTTGGAATGAACAGCACATGCTAGTTGAGGTCATGTTCACTGGTCTATGCACACTACAAATCATACAGTGTGTAGCTGGGTCAGCAAACAGTAGATCGCGATCTAGCAGTAGATTTTGGCCAGGTGACTGGTAGATATTGGTCTGGGCTTGCTGACTCACCATCCCAGGGCATCAAACAGAGTGCAATGCAGAGGAACTACTTGTAAAGTTGGAGCTATAGTAGTGAGGAAGAGTCAGATAAGCCGATGTCTCCTCTGTAGTGCTGCTCCTACATCCTGTCATGGTTTGTGGGTGTAGCACCAACCAAGCATGACCCATTCAAATTATTGAGTCCTCTTTGCAATTGCCCTGCAACCTTGTGCAGTACAGCAAACAAGGGGTTAAACAGACAGCGGTGTGTTGCTTTCTCGGCACCTGCTTTAAGCCCTTGGACCCCACAGAAGCATGCAGTTGCAGGGCACTTGCAGAGTGGCCCATTTACTTGATGTGTCTCGGTTGACAGGTGGTAGCACATACCAAAAGCATCAGGGGGTGTAGTTCCTGCTGCGGCATGTGTGTACGTTTGGAGCTAAAGGGGGTAGGGTTTGCGGGGGGGGTAAAACCATGATTCAACCACAGGGTTTTTCACCCCCCAACTTAACATGTGAACAAGCCCTTAGGGTGCCGTTGTTGATAACAACTATGGGCTCATTCACAGGTGCAGGTGGTGAGCAGGTGATATGTTGCCTCCTCATCATCTGATTTAAACTCATAATTGCCACGCAATGCATGCGATTTTGACACGGTAATACGACAGTTATAGGTTTATATCAGGTGTGAGGAGGCAACACTGTGCCCGGTGATCTTTGTCTTCTCCCATGTTGTTCAAGTAGATTTCTATCTCTTTAAGCTTGCCTACCCCTGGTCTATAGTCTATCTCAGGGGAGAGTAAGAGAGGATGGCTACATACTTGCACTTTTTCTACCAATGTTTGAATGAAAATCTAACTGTGTATGGTCAGCTTCACTGAACAACCTCTCATTTTTCTGACTGATGACAGGGCAGAAAGGCTTAAAGTGAAAGCGTAGTAACACCTTCTCCACTCTGCACTTACTACAAATAGTTTCTGCTTTCTCTACATTGTGTGTAGACTAAAACTCTGCTCCAACTGACACTTTGCTTTAATTATGTCATGGGTGCACAGATATTAAATTGCTGATCTTACATACAATCCTACATGTTGCTAACAAGTATCTGTGCTGGATCCTGCTGTCTGCCTTTATAGCAGCAGGAAGAGGGTGCAGGAGCAGGGGTTGGCATTTACAAGAACTGACCCTTTCAGAACATAGCCAGATTCCTATTAAACATTTCACAGCACGGGAAAATAAAAACAACTTTTAAAAATGTTGGGAAGCAAGCGTTTATTATCCTCTAGTGCTGCAAGATTTATATTTAAACAGTGAGAGACATAGTCTTTTTAGGGAACACAGGGGTTGATTTACTAAAACTGAAGAGTTCAAAATCTGGTGCAACTGTGCACAGTAGCCAATCAGCTTCTAACTCCATCTTGTTCAGTTAAGCTTTGATGAAAAATACCTGGAAGTTGATTGGTTTCTATACAGATCTGCACCGGATTTTGCAGTCCCCAGTTTTAGTAAATTTACCCCACAGTATATTTTTCTCTAGCTTCCTCCCACATTTTTTAGAAATAACAAAATGTTGAGCATCCACTTACCCGCTGGGTCCAGGTCTTTGAGCCTGAGAGATACGCCAGTCCGCATTAGGCTGCGCCTGCTGAAAAGAAACGAGAAAGTGCTTGTAATTGCTTTTAATATATGAAAATAAGTTAGTTCTGTTTTTTTTCTTCACGCTTAGACTGAAATGGAGAAAAAAGTTAAAATCTTAAAGCTCTACCATACAGTTTTTTTTTTTCTTCTGCTCTGTTCAAAAATAATAGAAAAGTTACATTATTACTTTACAATATTACAAGTAATTTCCTTTAAAAAAAAAAGCAGAACTGGTAGGAGGATATTAATTAAAATAAATGTAAACCAACAGCACACTGCAATATTAATAAATGGAACACAATTGCATATATACAAATCAAAAGGATAATAAACAACTCAAAAACATGCAGAAGAACCAAGAGAGTCATATACAGTACTAGGAATTTCCATCTTTCTGGAGCAGTGTGCTCTTAAAATAACCCTTTAATGACTACTTACTAAGCAAAGTAAGGTTGTTGTTTTGCATTAGATACCCTAAGTGGCCTTCTCCTACCTAAACATGCCTGAGAACAGTTATATGTGAGGCATGGATTAGTGTCTACACTATTCTTAAAAGCTCAAAGTACAGTATCTGTCTTAGGCCTCTTGCACACTGCAGCTTTTTTTTTGACTGATTTAAAATGCAGCTCATTGTTCACAATCTGCCTGTATGCACACGTGCATAAACAAGCACTGCGTATTCTTGAGTAAAAAAAAAAAAGAATGCGCTCGTGAATGCGCATACGTAAATACGCACAAATACATGCATAAATACGCGCAAAACAAATCTTATGCCCATAAATGCTGATGCTCAAACATCAATACTGTGTGCGATCTGCCTTAGTAGTTTTGGGACTTGGTGACACAACCCACTTGTTAGTCCCATTCAGTAATATTCTATTTCTGAAAGCTGTCATTCACATATCATTTTTTGCAAGCTGTTGCACTGAGCTGGGAAAATGAACAGCTCTGTGTTGATAATAGCAGGCACCTTATGGAGACTTCTGCAAAACTTCTATTTTATTTTGCTTAATTGGCAGTCAATACAGTTTTACATTAATGGCCTGGTAAGATGTCACAGGGATGAAAAACCAAAGTTTGCACATACGTTCAAGGCTAGTGTCTACTGTGGGCAGACCAAAATTAAATTGGAAGTCTGTACTGTGACTGTGCACGTACCAATCACTATTACATTTTAACCACAGTCCCCCCAAAAGAAAAGAAACAAATAGCTTCAGGTATCAAAACAAGAACTTCCGAGCACTTTATAATAACCACAAACAAGCAACAAAATGCATGGCTTGAAAGTCATCAATACAGATTTACATTAATGACAGGTTAAGATGTCACAGGGATCAAAGACCAGAGTTTGAACATTAGCTCCAGGTTAGTGTCCAAGAAACAAAGAAAACTGTGGACAGACCAAAATGGAGCTGGAAGTCTGTGGTGTGACTGCACTCCTACCAAGTACTGTTATATTTCAACCACTGTCCCCAAAGAAAAGAAATACACATCTTCATGTATTGAAACAATAACTTCCGAGCACTTTACAATGACCAAACATAAGCAATGAAACACTGGGAAGATGATTACCCTCTGTCACATAAACATACAAAATAAAATCCGAATAATGGCACCAAGAAGTGAATCAACACACACTGCTCCTAAAAGCTGATACAAGGTGTAAGGATAAACTTCTTTGCTCTTCCCTGCAACTAGTGTGGTTTCTAATTGTAGAAATGTTTATGGCAGCCATTCTCTGTTTCAATATTTTTTATTGGGGCTTAAGTTAAAAAAACCACACACACAGAATGCCCTTGAGGGGCCAAAGCATGAATACAAGAGTATACAGCAGCCATCTGAAGGGGGGCCTCCTCCGGAATACAAAAGTGCAGTGGGGGAGAATCCTGCATCCATGTCACTTGTGTGGGTACAGAAATCTGAGTTTTTTAAAAAAAAAAAAAAAAAAAACAACCGACAGGACAGTGTACACCCAGCTGTAGTGTGAAGGGGAAAAGTAATAGAACCTTAGTGAGCTTATATTGTTGTCAGTATTCTGAACCCTCCCTAGTCAAACTTTGACAGCAGTAAACACCTGCTAGTTCTGAAAGTGCAATCTCTTTCCAAGTCCAAAAATTTTTTTTACTGCTACGTACAATGTCTTAAGACAGTTTGTCAGTAAACCTGTCACAAAATAAGAAATGTAGCCATTCATCTATGACCTTTTTAGCATTTTATCAGATGCTTAAAAATGTGCCCTTATTATTGGCTTGTAATTCATCGCATAGCAGCTTGCCAATGGATTTGCCATTTTGCAAACACAGACACGTGCTTCATCTAGCAGTTTGGGAGAAAAAAGGTCCCTGTGGACTACAATATGCCAAAATATGTATGAGGAATGTCCTCACTAAAAATATACATGCTACAATGGCAGTCTTCCAGCTGGACAGACCACAGCAGAGAACTGATTTGTCATATAGACTACTTGTAATGGAAAAGCACATACACAAGCACAATCAGAGATGTGAAACCTAAAGTGGAATTCCAGTTGAATAATATAAAAAAGGGCAGCAGCTACAAAAACTAGCTGCTGACTTTTAAAATACAGCCACTTACCTGTCCCTCGGTCCAGCAGTGTCCTTACCAGGGCTGGTTTCATTGTCTGTCTTCTCTCCCCGGCGCCAGCATCTTCAGTGTGGGCATCTGGCTGTGACAGCTTGCGGCTTCACAGTCGGGTGCCCAATGCGCATGCGCGAGTAGCGCTGCGCTTTGTGAATGGCCCCGTAGTCTTCTGGGACCTGTCATGTGTCCCAGAAAACTACGGGGAGGGAGGACAACTTCCACTTCCAATCGCCTTAGGTGATTGCACCTGAAGTGGGAGCGGGTACCTGTCAAATTCGGGTACCCCCCCACTCCCCAAAGGTGCCAATCCTTAACAGGGAGCGGGGGACAAAGCCTTAAAGCGGAATTTCCCCTTTTGGGTGGAGCTCCGCTTTAAGTACTTCATTGATTGACAATAGCAGATACTCTACGTATGTAAATAGGTACAATAAAATAGTTAAATATAAATAGTTACATACACTTACATTATGAATCTTTTTTTTGCAGGCACACAATGGGAGGCATTTATTAAAACTGGAGCAGACAGAATCTGGAGCAGTTGTACATAGTAACCATTCAGCTTCCAGCTTCGGCTTTTTTTTTTCAGTTAAGCTTTAAAAATGAAAGCTAGAAGCTGATTGTCACACACAGCTGGTCAAGATTCTGTCTGTCCCAGACTTAGTAAATCCCCCAAATATATTTTCTAGCCAGTATATCCTATATCGCACCTTTTTTTACCCACATATAGACTTAAAAGCATACCAATGGCAATGGCTTGTGTGCTTAATGTACAGTACAATATACACAATGAACTATTCATACTACCTTGTACATTTGCACAGTGGCAAAGCAGTTAGCACTTCCTCCGAGCAGCACTGGAGTCGTTGGTTTGAATCCCAACAATGGCATTACCTGCCTGGAGCTTGCATGTTCTATGTGGATTTCTCATAGTACTATGATTTTCTTCCACACTCCAAAGACACGCTGGTAGGTTGACTGGCCCTTGTCTAAATTGGCCCCATTATGTGAGTTAGGAACCTTAGATTGTAAACTCCTTGAGGACAGGGACTGATGTGACTGCAAAATATTCTATATATGTAAATCTCTGCATAAATTGATGGCGCTATATAAGTACCTGTAATAAGTAAATACATTTGAATTTGACCTGTCTGTTTATATTTACCTCTACTGTAATGCCAGTTTTAAATTTATAGTGTGGCTATATTTGTGTGTGTTATCAGGAGCCTCTGTTTTGTAAAGTAGAACTTTATTTTAAAAAAACAGTTAACACTAGTCAAAATGAATGTCTTTCAGCTGCTTTAGCAGGGTATAGCTGTCCACACAGTTGTATAACATTTGGGACCAGATAAAAGATCTACACAACTAGATCAGAATAGGAGACACTTATCTACATCTGGATTGAATAATTAACTTCCGAGGGTATTTCCTCTAATTAAGTAGTTAAACTTTGATTCCACATTTTATAATGTGACATAGCACCAGTCTAACACTCACAGGTCAAATGTCAGCGCTTAAAATGGCTTTTTCAGTTGCTATTCTGCTGACAATTTAATTACAAGCTTCCTTCAAAAAGGAAAAATGTGTTTATTCAAGCCTCTTGCCCCTTCAACTTCCTTTCAAGAGTACCAGGACACTGTCAAGTCACTATAAATCACTTCCACCATTATTAATCCTGAAGACTGGCAATACATTAGTTAAACCTAGTGTTTTTGGGTTGGGAGGTGAGATATCCCCCAGCTGTTGTCAAAGATATGGCTTCAGAGTCCCAATAATCTTCTTAATCAATCTAACATGGCTCTGTGCAAAAACAAATGATATCACATAACCTGTAATACTGTCATGTTATGTCTCATTGGCAATACATAATGATTTGACTTATTAGAGCACAATTCTCTGCAGACAACAAACTAAAGAGGTAACAGAGAGGTCATTCTTACAACTGTTGTATGAAATAGATTTTTAATTAGAATTTTATTATAATTTTATGAGCGCTATAGCAGTCTGATTTTTTTTTTTTTGCACAAAATTGTTTGTTATATATTGCGGTCATGTGCACTGTAGTATTTTTGTTATATATTTTGTAGTTATATGAATTCAGTATTTATCAGCACTATAGCACTTTTATATGTAATGTCGCAAAAAATTGTTTGTTATATATTGTGGCTTATCAGGATTTGGGGTTTATATATAACATATAGTGAAAGAAATAGGTGGGGATTATGGATTGTTTCTATTTGTTTGTGCATTTTGTGGGTTTAACAAAATGGAATAGCAGCTTCCCTGAGGCATCAGGACTCCAAAATGGATTAAATTCATTCATGTGTTTTGTTTTTTTTTTTTGCCTTTTTTAATTTTAATTAATTGTAAAGATTTCAAAACGAACTTCTATCACGTTGTCATTATGGC